AGCGTACGCGTTGATTTCAGATTGCGTAAGTTTATATAGTTCTATATTTCTTAAGACGCCACTGAAATACTAGTTTAATTTTTAAATTTTTTTTTTTTGATTTTAAATCCTTTTTTAATATCCTATGGATTTAACAATTTGGGAATTGCCCATGACGAAAAATCGGCAATAGAATTTTGGGCAAAGTGCAGAATCACCCACTGTTTGACGCGTTTTTAAGAATTGCGCATACTCGGTATCCATGTGCACATCGACCTATTTTCACTTAAAAAGAAAAATCCCAGAATTGCACAAAAATGGCACTGCGCACACCCTAGGCTTTATCTATGTACACATCGACCTATTTTCACTTAAAAAGTAAAACAGCGGCCGAGCGGTAAAGTCGCTGAACACTGGTAGTTCGGTCCGAGGTTCGAATCCCGCGAACGGGCTGGCTGCATGGGCGTTTTCGTGGTTTTCCCCATGTGTAACGTGTATACGAGCCAGTTTCCCTTAGAAAGTCCTCCACGAAGGCATCCCTCCTCTTAGGCAGATAGCCCTCGAGGCTTTGCCATAATTACACACACACACACTTAAAAAGTAAAAAGGAAATTGACAAAAATCCAATTGTTTTTACCCTTGTAAAAAGCGGCAAACAAATTAAGTGAGCAATTCTGCACTTTACGGAGAATATTTTCAAAGAAAAAGGCATCATTTATTATAGAAAATTACGTTTGAACAACAAATGAGATGAAATTATGCTTTAGCGATAAGTCGGTAGCGAAATAGCGATGCAGGCATTCATTTAGTTATGTTTAGCAATTTTTATATAAATATAAAAAAAAATTATAATAATGATCTGAATAGTTATTTACTCTTTTGCTTCCATTCAGTCATGTTTAGCCTTTTTCATATAAATTATAATAATAAAAAAGTATTATATGAAATTAACCTTTCATCTAAATTAAAACATCAATCTTAGATAGTTATTTACTACATTATACTTCCTTTCTTGCCGCAATTATTTTTGGCAGCATTGGCATCAACAATATTTTGGCGAATTTTTACGGCCCTCGAAACCGAATAGTACCATAAATATTTTAGTATATCCCTTATATTTATAAATATTTACTTAGTTCCAAGTACCTCTTCAGAGACATTCCTAACTTTAAAAAAAAGGGTTACTCGTTTATCAGATTACGAAACTGTTGAAAGGAAACAACAGATATAAACAGAGGATCAAACAGCAGATATTTAATATTCTTGTAAATCCTGAAAAAAGTATCAAATTGTTATTCTTTATTTCAAATTAAATTATATACAAGTTATTTCAAAATAAATATAAATCCCTACAGTCTTTTTTAAGTTTTTTTTTTAAACTTCTTTTTTATATCAAAAATCCGTAAGTAACAGCTATCAGTCGATAATAGCTGTTGTATGTTTTTTTGATTTTCAAGAGTCTGATATAGGCCACGTATTTATAGATAAAATCATAAGAATGATGGTTAAGATGCTGCAGGAGAATTTATACAGGATTTTTTAAAATATCCTAAAGTAGTTTTAAAAGATCGTGAAGACTATTACACAGTTTGTTTTTCCTTTTAACTTATAGTTAAATGTCATTTGCTCTTATGGAGAATAACGAAATATTTCTCTTAAACGAAATATTTCTTGAAATCCGTTGTTAACAATTTCCTTTTCCTTGTTCTTAAGACATTAATAGAGATCAAGTAACTACAATCAGAACACTTCAGAAAACGTTCAAAAAAGTTTAGAAGGCCGTCTAAAATCTTCATATTGTAAAAAAAAAAAAAAAAAAAAAAAAAAAAAAAAACTTAAACCATCATTTGAGAGAAGCTTTAAAATTTTGTCCCAAATTTAAAATCGGAAACAATTCAACCTGACATTGTCACTGATTATATATACGCAATAAAACCTATATATTTAAATCTGAAATTATATGTTCCTCTTCCATTTTTATTTTATTTTTTTAGCGTTTCAGTTTGGAATTTCTGCTCAATAACTGAATGAGATTTTTATTGTTTCTTTATGTTAAAATAAGGTTTTTAAACATGGGTTACGTAAAAATATGTTTTTTTTAGTTTATGTATTGTCGACATTTGCCTATGGCTTTGATTACATTTTACCCAACTAACATATTTTTACAGTCATAAGGTGCTAAGTATCATTTTCTTTTCTTGAACGAAACAGAAATTAAAAGCCCTTGATCTTTGACATCTGCTTAGTGTATCTTGAATATCTGGTGAATAAAAAAAGTCTGTGCGACATTTGCGGACTTAGAATATGAAGAGGTCCTGAACTCCGCTTTAAAAGATCATCAATTCAGATGAAATCTTTACTGAATACCATTTAAAACTGTGAGGGTGGTGTGTAAAATTATGACTAATGACAAGCAGGTGCTGAGAACTACCTTTTATATCGCTGGGTAGGCTAGCTATCTTTTTAAATGATGGATTAAAAGGGTCAAGAAATAGCTTCAAAACGCAAAGCATTATTCCATTCTAGATAAAAATTTACCTGGATTTAATTTTTATTTTTTTATAACAAATGATATTTTTGATTAATTTGAACTTTAATCTCCTCTACATATTGCGTTTTCTTTCATTTTCCGTCTTTCGTAGCAATCGAAGTATGTCGAAAGGGGGTTATTTCAAAACTGACTCTTAGTAGATGCAGTTTTAAACTGCGTGGCTCGATTGATGGATGATAGTTTGAATTACGTATACTGTTTTTAATTAGTGCATTGTAAAATATTTTGGAGATATAAACAGTTTTGAAAAACTAGTAAACAAACATCCAGCTTAGAAATACCAAAGAAATGAATGTTAGGCTCTGTGTGCCTACGGTCGTTAGAGTTTACCTGAATACGCATCTCGAAGGGTTTTGGTTTGGCTTTATTAGATTATGCCAAAGCACTCGAGGGCTATCTGCCTTAAGGGAGGGATGCCTTCGTGGAGGACTTTCTAAGGGAAACTGGCTCGTATACACGTTACACATGGAACCACGAAAACGCCCATGCAGCCAGCCCGTTCGCGGGATTCGAACCTCGGAATGTACTACCAGTGTTCAGCGACGTTATCGCTCGGCCGCTGGTGGGCCCACCGCATCTCGAAGGGACGGGATGCTTTTTTCAGCGAAACTTCCTCATATTCCTCCTTACACATCGAAAAAACTTCAGAAACACCAATGCAGCCAGGTCATTTACTGATCTCCACCGAAGGCAAAATACTAGTGTTCAGCAGTTTTACCTGGCCATTGATGGGCACTTTATTATTATTTTTTTAATCTATCGATTTAGTCAAAATCTCATCTAAAATCAACGTAGCTCTATTTGTTTCATTAGTTTTCCTTTTGAATTCTTTTAATTCGTTAATTTTCTCTTAATTAATTAATCTCGATTTAAAAACTAATTCTTATAAGTTATAAATTATGGTGTAGCTAGTTTCATTTAATTTGTTATTAATTTTTTTTAGCCCAAAGTTTCGTTAGCCCAGAAAGGCTATTAGTCTCAAAACGGCATTTTGCGTCGAATCTAAATTTCCGAATCACTTTTCAAATTGTTGCCACCAAATATTATCGCCCTGTATTACATTTAAAGCAACTAAATAATGAAGGATCTACATGAATGAATTGTATGTTTGTCGCATTTTGAAAAAGCAACGGTACCTAGAGTCATCAATTTTGATTGACATAGTCCTACACCAGAACGTAGGCACCCGGAAGCCGGAATTTGTAATTTGTTTTATTGTCTATTTCATAAAATTTTAACCAATTTTTGAGATTAAAAAAAAATCAAAAATTTCAAAGCGAGCAGTGGCAACACTGGAAGGAATAAAACATTTTTATCTCCAGCGCGCGAGACTGTCTATCGGTAATTCTAAGGATATGCTGTTTTTGAATATTTTTAGCTCAATATGGCGGTAACCCAAATGCTCTTGAAACGTATATAAGTCTGTAAATTTAAAAAAAAATCGCCCGTTTAAGCGCAATATTATTTATTTATTTTTGAGAAATTATAATGTTGTTTTTGCATCAGTGAAAAGTTTTTTTAAACTATACTGTAACCTTTCAGCAAGCGCCTGTCATAACAACAAACGGAAAAATTAAGCTAGTAAAGTACTCATTGTTTAACTCCAGAAGTTGAAAATTGAAGCTCGAAATATAGTAAACTTTCTGCTCTGATTTTTCATTTTTGCAACATGAATGTGGCCACTGAAACCTGAGTGATACTAAAATGTCTTATGTTCAGTAAGTTTTGATCGTTTACTAATTCATAAGTAGTATATCTGTATAGTTTACTTTATTATTAAATGCGAATCAGTTCTGAATACCTAACCATTATCTTTCAAATCTCTTACATTGCTAAAATAGTGGTTAACTTTCCGATATTTGATGTAATTAGGAACTCATAGAAAGAAGTGCATCTTTAATTTTTAAAAATGAGGTTACGATAAAAATATTTTAGAGATATTTTCTTAAAAATATTAAAAATCTGATCAACATAAAAATTTAGTTAGTAGAGAAAACTATTGAGAAAAAATACGTTATATCTGTATCTGACAGGAGCCTTCTTATTGTTTCTAAGCTGATATTCGACCGAGGCTTCTTACATAGTGCGATTTTTCGTTTACTAATTAATGAATGTTTTGACTTCAATTTCAATTAACGATACAAAATTCTTTTATAAATATTTCAAACTTTTCTTTGTGTAGGCGGAAAAAAGCAGTCATTGTTTTTATCTTCACACAGGATTAATGTCCTCTATAATTCCGTTTCGTAAATTTATTTTAAATATACATTTAATATACCATTTTACTATTTTTAAAAATACTAATTATATTAAATAATAAGGATTATGAAACATGCATCTACATGTATATGGCAAGCTGTTGTGGCTGAAGTACTCAAAATGATATGGTTGCCTGAGACTGAAATATTTTTGAAAATGTTTATGCATATTTCAAGGAATGAATATTGAATTTTATATTATTTTATTTAAGGTATTCTGAGCCGCTTCCGGCCTGTACCTGCGAAAGATGACGAAGAGGGGACCAATCTCAAAAGCCCAGTAGAGGATGGTGGAAAGATAAAAAAGATGGCCGCTGAAGAGGGGGTCCAGTTGAAGAGACAAGTTGGTCTCTTCAGTGCAGTCTTCCTTATTGTTGGAACTATGATAGGTAAGTTAATAAGTGTTATAATTATTGCAGTTTTTGGTACATTTTGGTTCTCAGGAGAAAAGCTGATGTGGTCTTCAGTACTTCGAATACTTATGAGGTATTTTCTCTTGCCTTTCTACATATCTTCGTGATGTAAGTGGAAGCAAGCTCGACGCATTTTTAGGAGGTTCGAAGGTCGAACCTCCTAAAAACGCGAAGGTCGAATCCCATCGAGGGCACAGCAGATTTCCTGCCATCGAAATATTCCAAATGGCTGTAGAAGTGGCGCTCAAACTATTGAAATTTGGTGAATGATAATTCATCAGCACGGGGATTTGGTGATTGGGTCTCCCAGTCCTCAGTTGCCCTTTAAAAAGAAGAGTATATATGACATTTTCTCCATCCTTTCCGCTTACCTTCTGGGTGTAACTGGAAGCACTCTCGAGTTCGAATCCCAGCGAGTGCATTGCATATTTTTCATGTTTTCCCCATCAATTTTCATAATGATTCTGCATAGTATATTTAAATTTCTTCGAAGCAATACTCACTTCTAAGTGTAAATAGGCGTTTAGAATAACACAAAAAGTAGTCAGAGGAATTAGGCATGCCATATATGTTGGAGGGAGTGAATAACCATAATCGTAAGATGCCAGAAGCCTAAAACTGGCAACTTGAAATAAACGAGACAGAAAAGGACTATGTTGTTCCAGATTAATTCTCTTGTAGACTATTATGATGTTTTTATTATTATGCTTCTTTTCAAAGTTTTATTTGTTTTAAGTTTGGTTTACTTTGTTTAATTATGTACATTCAAAATTAAATCTAGTATACTTCTAAAAATATTTAAGTATGAATTCATATCTATATCTTTCAGTTTATGAACTTTTATTACTATAAATATACTTTTCATACTTTTCAATATGAATATATTTGTCTTATCCATAGGTTCCGGAATTTTTATATCACCCAAAGGTGTTCTTATTCGTTCTGGCTCCGTAGCAATGAGTTTACTCGTCTGGGCGGGCTGTGGTGCTATAGCATTAATGGGTAAGTAACTTGAATTCTATTTTTACTGTTTTTGTACCTCATCATTTTTTAGACTGCATAAACGATAATACCAATAGATACTACGAAATTCCTATGTTTAAGATGCACTTTTACATTCTGGTAGAATCTAAATTCAATACGAGTTAATAATGGCGAAATATTTCTTTTACGACCTAATTCACTGAAATTAGAGCTCAAGTCAAAAAACCATGTTTCAGATGAAGTTTAATGATCTCCTCTTATCTTTTTCTATCCTCAGCTTTTGAAGAAAAATGGGTAAATGAATTTTGTGAGCCTTCTTAAACTAGGAAGAAAATTATCGCAAACTGTGATGATGAGGGACGAAGTAAGCGACCTTCCATCATTAATGATGACCTGTTAAAGAAAGTTGATAAAACAACACTGGAAGTTGAGTAAACGGACGCTTTACGATTTCATCATTATCTAATGTTCCCTCAAGTTTCAAGAAATGTTCTGTGTGTAACTGGGGCAGAATGAAGCTGGTCGTATAAATACGGTGAGACCTCAACGAAAGGAGGAAATTATATTGAAAAGTAGATTAAGGCCCAAGGTCTCGTATAAAAATTAAGTTTAAAAATTGTGCTTGTATTTATAGAATATCAAAACAGTACTTAATTAAAAAATATGCTTCGGTACTTACTTAAAAAATATGCTTCGTATTATTGCTCAAGGTTTTGAAGATACTGAAAGGGAATGATTTTAATTAATTATCCTGGCTTTCAAAGCCATTTCTTTTAACATGCACCTGCATCGTTGATTTATATCGGGAAATGGCAGATGATGCCTTAATGTTGAGGGAACATGAGGTTAGGTAATGATTTGGCCGTTCCAGAGTTTCCGCACACACACTGGTCCGTATAGCTGATGTTGAACTTGTAGAAGTATTCTGGAATGGTCCATGACTCGTTATGTAACAAGTTAGCTGCGGTATGGATATTTTTTGTTTCGAAAACGGTTAGCAATTAGTTAATTGGGCAGTAGCCTTAATCTTCATCAGACTAATCTTTTAGCCTTTACTACAAGCTTGGTGAAACTGTCGACGCTTTAACTAGGAAAGTGGCCATAGATATCTTGGTGGAATCGCTCCTTATTTTACGGGCAACAGCATTTTTTAGCACGGAATGAGCCTTCTTACTTCAAATCGCTGCAACATGGGCTTTGTTCTATTAAAGCTGGATGTTTAGAGGATTATACATCCGGTGATAACGTTGTATGTTGTTGATGATGGAAGCCTCGATTTGGGATGGAATCCCAGCACTAAGACGATATCACAGCTGATGCTGATATTGTTAAGGGCTGTATCAGGAATGTATGTTATTACTTTGGATATGGCTATAATTTCTGCTTTAAAGATTCTTTTTGCGAGGACAGATGGCCTTCCCGTTGATATAGATAGTCATTATATTGGATGACAATGTAAGCGCTTCCTGCTCTGCAATTAGTGGTAAGCTGCAATTAGTGGAAGCAGTTTATAGCTTTGGATACACTGATGCCTAACGTTTGTCTACTGTATGCCTTTATGACAAAGATGATTGTGTAGTGGAATGACTACGAATGGACAACTAACTGAAATCTATATTTTAAGTGAACTCTCTGTAACAGAATGGCTCTCATATTCTTGTGATAAGTGATTCGTCCCGAAATTTACCTCGTATCCGCAAATAAAAACGCAGTCATTTTAATTGGCCTTTGTATATTTAGCGTAAGTTTTGCAATTATACTTTAATTTGAACGCCAGTAAGTTTTGTTGTATTTGTTACGCAGTGGTGTAGAATTTTAATTCTTTAAATTAGTAACCGTTCATTTCTTTTTTTTATTAGTTAGTACTGGGACATTTAAAGTGCATCGTATTAATTATATAAATCATCGAATAAAATATACCTTGTGTATACCAGCCGTCTTTAAGGACAAAAGGTTTTTTTTGCAATGTATGAAAGATTCACAACGAAGAATCGTAAACATATTTTGCATTCAAAATAACAAAAAGGGAAATTAAAATTTAATCGCATTAATATTTTATCAAAAATATTCACTCTTACCTCTCATACTTAAACTTGTACTTTTATTATTTTTTATAACATACATTTTTATATGTTTCGAATTGAAATTTTATTATTATTATAGACTTTTCGAGTTGAATTCTGTAACATATTAGCTAAATATTTAAAAAATTTCATACTGAAAAAAAGTGAAAGTTTACGAATCATGCATTTTTTCAATTTTATTTTAAATTGCTCTCTTAGGTTTAGAATAAAAAGTAGATCATACCCGAAAATATAGGCTATTACGTTGATAATGCCAGTTTCAAGAAGAGTGTCAGAATATTTTTAATCAAATAAATAAATAAATAAATAAAAATAAGGGAGGGGAAAGTCGGTAGCTTTTTTAAATCGGTAATTCAAACAGCACTCTAGTCTATTCTTGAGCGGTTTTTGAAAGCCGTAACCCCTTTACTGATTTCAAATATTCGATTAGACTACAGATTATGAATAGATCAGAAAAGAAGAGCTATATGCATTGCTGTAAAATCTTTAAAAATTTAAATTCTTTTCGATTGCATTGTTGTTTTTCTGAATTTTTTATTTAATTATTGTGTATTTGAGGCGTTTAGTGTGATGATGTTAGGGTTTATTTTACGGTTCATAGAATTTGTGACCGAATATTTTGCATATAAGTGCAAATATTTCTTATTTCATATTAATTAATTACTTTTAAATTGTAAAAATAACTTTATTAAATATAGGCGAATACGCTCCTGATGTACTTTGGCGATAATTTTAGTCGCCAAGTTGGTAGCATTTAGAGAATACTGGCCAACTCGGCGATTTCCTAGAGGATTCGAGGAAAAGCATTTTCGAAGCTCTATGATGACAGTTTCTTCCTGAAGCTTCCTTGTTATAATATATAATAAATACATTTCCAAGAGCTGGGACAAGTTAATTGTTAATCAACTGTGAGATTTCATGGTTCAAAGAGTTAGCTGAATTGCGATTTGAAATTTATGAATGATTTTTGGAATTGACGATATTTCTTGTGAGCTAAGGAAGAGTTGTTTAATATCCATATTCTATCCATCTCTTCATTATGCTGTGTGTAGTGAATTTTTATAATAAATTGTAAATTTCTTCCTGCTTCTCTAGAGTGATTATTTAAAGAAACATCAACGAACCCTTAGCCCACAACAATATGTTTAGAGTAACTAGAATTTAGTGGTGATATTATCATTATTTTTTAAATTAAAGGAAATTTTTATTAAAAAAGAAAGATTATCGAAATCATTGTAGAACTTTACCAGAAATATAAAGAAATAACTAACATGTTTTACTATTAAACGATGAAATTTCAGGCACGTTGAGACGTTTCAGACGTTTTTAATTGGATAAACTTCTTCGCTGTTATTTTCTAATGGCGTATTTCCCAACAGAATATCTCTAACTGATACCTCGAAAAAACAGTCTGGAATACAACCATCTGCTGTTTAATTTTAATTTTTTATCATCACATGTCGATTAGTATTATTTTTTGAAGCTCCCACTTACTTTTAATGTATTAAAAAGGTTAAGTTTTGTTTCAAGATAAAATTAAATTGTATGTGAATTTTCTAATTTCTAGAAATGTTTCTGTATTTGAAATGATTTAAAACGAATAATAAAATAACAAATTAAATCGCATATGCTATTGTAACACATCTTTTCTAATCTTTGTTTAAATTATTTCTGTTATTTTCTTCAGTATTAGCAGTAATAAGTCTAGACAGACAATAAAAATAACTAAAGAAACCTTACAAAGAAGGTTTAGAATCAAGAATCCTTATCTCTTGCTATTCCAGTATATTCCTTGACGTCATCATTCCCTTAGTGGGTGTTGCATACATGAGTAAATCCTTATATGAATGAAAAGCTACTTTCTTTCCTTTTCCTTATGTTTTGAGATGGAGAGAGTTCGATAAGGAAAGGAAAAGAAAAAATTTGCTTTTAGTATACAAGTCAGGTTTTTGAAATTTTTTCTATGCTCTTGAATCTTAAAAATGCTCAAAGATTATCACTCCAGGGGTCAGCACCATATCTCACGATGCAATGACTACTCTTCGTTTTGTTTTTTATTATAAATTGAGATATTTACCAACATACGTATTTTGTGTTCTCTTCTGTGGTGTAAACAAACGTAAAGTATAAAAATGCGATTTGAATTTGTCCCTTTCCCATTTGTACTGCCGGCCATTAAAATTGCAACACCATGAAGGAAAGCAAATACAAAAAGATATTTATTGCACGCAAACAGTATGGCATGAAGACAAAATGATTCAATTTGTAAGCACTTTGGAGGTTCACAGGAGTGCGAAATTAGTAGAAACAACTGCCATTCCTGGGGCAGCTAAAACGGCCCTTACCCAATTAGGCATGCAGTCAAACTGGGCTTGGATGAAAAAAATGGACAACTCATTCCATGCTGCTTCAAGTTTATGCACACTTCATCAACCGTATTAGCTGACGAGGGGTGGCGGGCCAGTCTCTCAGCAACCCATGACCAGATGTTTTCAATGGGTGACAGATCTGGGGACCGCGCAGACCAGGGCAGCAATCAAATACCCTGTGTATCGAGGAAAAATCAGAACAGGACGTGCAACGTGTGGTCTTGCATTATCTTGTTGGAACAGGGCATCTGGAGGCCTCAAAGATAGGGTACAACCACTGGACGTGAGATGTCAGAAATGTACCCATCTGCGTTCAAATTACCTTTGATCCGAACTAGAGATATGTGTGTCGTGTACCCAATAGCTGCCCAAACGATCACACCAAGTGCAGGGCTTCCTATGCTGATATCGAATGCAAGCAGGCGATGTGCAGTCTCCTTGATCACTCCAGACACGTATACGGCCATCAGAAAACTGCTCGTAGAACCTGTACTCGTTTGAAAAGGCGACATTGTGCCATTCCTGTACTCAGCTTTGTCGTCTGGCGGACCAGAGTTGTTGTCTC